TCCTAATAACTAATTTTTAAACATTGAATATGTCTGTATCCTAACACTGACAAAAATATGATTTCACAATTACTTTCTATATAATATGTAAAAGTTCCTGTGTCACCTTAAAATTATTAATATGTACTTAATTAAACTAAGTAACTTATAAATATGGTTCAATTCATTTCTAGCAACATATAAGAAACATATGTGATTGACTATACACAAACAGATTGATGATTATGAAGGCTAAAAGACTTCATCAACAGACTCCATTCTATCAAATTGTTAAAGGGATACAATTCTTAAGTATTAGAATACTTGTGGAAATTCTGACTGATTTATGTTATAATTGTATTTTGCCCCATCAGTTTCACTGAATCTAAAAAACACTTCAATCATTAAAAATAGTAAGTGAAATCTTGATTATTAGTCACTCTTTTATTGCTAGGACCAATTACCTGACAATGTTACTTATGAAGAAATGTTTATTTGCTTCATATTTTAGTGGGTTTGATCAATGATTGGCTGGTTCCAAGGCAGAAATGGCATCATGAAAGAGTGGAAAGGTGCTCACTCCTTTGTACCTAAGAATCATAGAGAAAAGGGAAGAGACAGAAAAAAAAAAAAATATATATATATATATATATATATATATATATATATATATACCTCCTTCTCAGAGATACAACCTTAGTGAACCCCTTTTTCAACCAGCGAAAGCATGAGAGCATGAGACTTTGGGGATACATTTTAGATCTGAACCATATCTTTCCATCACGGCTCCCTAAAAGATTATCTCATTATGCAAGATGAAAAGATTCATCTCATTATGCAAAATGCATTTAGTCTAAGTGTAAACAAAATTTTAAAGGTCTAGCATTGCTGAAATGTCTATGTTCATAGTCTTCTCTGGAACTCAAGGCAAACAGTTCTCTCTGAAACTTTGTCAAACAGGAAAATAAATATAACCAACATATGATGGCACTGAGTAACGAGTTTTGTTACAACAAGGAGAGCTAAAGGAATGGGAAGGAATCAAACAAAAACAAGATCAGCAGGGTAAATATTCTATCCTGTAAAGCTAAACATTCATTACCCAAAGTGAGTTATGGTAAGACTCATGCTTTGAGGATCTTGGGCATCCAGCACTATGGCTTTGCTTGGTGCCCTCTTTCAACAGACTCTGCTTACTGTCTGAAATTTTACTCAATACAATATCTATATTTCTGGAATTTCCTGGAGTCTACACTACATCTTTGGCTTCATTCTCATAGTTCTAAAATAGTGCATTTAGGAGGTTTGAGACCACATTCCTCCACTCACTCTACCTGGGCAATGGCCCATGTCCTTTATGATGAGGTCCACTACCTAGAAAAAGAGTGAAAATAATAATAAAGACTTCTGGAAATTCCTAAAACTTCAGGCCAGGACACATGCGTGTTACACCTGCTGTCATGATCTACAATGACTTTCTTTACTTGGAACTCTTTAAAAGTTCATAAATATGAACACTGTCTCCTGTCTAAAATTATAGCAGTGAAATATGGGAAATTACATGGGCAATAGGTACAGCTGACTCAGCACCTTAATCACACTGCCAATCACGAAAGGCCCAAGGAAAGAAACCTTAGGCCAAGAGTACAATTCAAATCCTTATGTGAAGCCCATTCGGTATCCACCCCATTTTGCTTTCTGTTTATACAGTTTTCCCTTTTCTAGTATAAGCCTGTCTGTTCTAACTTTAAATTCCATCATATTTAGCTCTCTTTCCTTACCATTGCATGCAACATCCAGCCCTTCATATCTCACACACAAAAACAGGGATACCTGGCCACAAGCATCCTACGATGCTCAGCAGTAGCTTCACACACTGCCTTCTCAAGACCATGATGCCTGGCATTCAGTATAAGGAAGCCTTCATGAACCCACAATTCTTTCATTGTACTTGTCCAAGAAACCAATACTAAGTGGGTGGTTTCAAGTTCAAGCACGCTAGGCCCCTTCAACTATATTTTCAGCCCTCTCCTAACACAATTTTCCCAAAGTAAATTCTATTAGAAAATAAGTTCTAGTGAGATTTTTGAAGACATATCCCCTGAAAATGATCCCTACTGAATTTCTGGAAACAATAACTTTAAGTCAAGCAAAAGTAAACATGATCCCACTGGATATGAGGCAAACCCATGAGGAAGAAGCTGTTGCTGTCAGGGTACATCATGTTTTACAGTAAACAGTTTTTGGTAAGTAGAAGGAGTATTGCCCAAAATAAAGATAAAATTACAATACAGAATTGTATAGTATGTACTTAAGTCAATAATAATGAAACATTAATCTTTATAAAATGTTTTCCTCTGTACTTTCACAACACTAGCAATTCTTAGCACACATTAAAAGAATAAAATTTACTATGTGCCCAGAATTATAAAAAAAATTCTATTTTATGGTATATTGGAAAATGTCCACAAATTTCCTATTTTGCATTTGTATATTTAGCTTCTTTTACGGATAATTTTCTTACTCAATTGTTCTAATTCAATTGTCAAAAGCCCTAAAATATCTGAAAGGCAGAAATAGGTCTTTTGGAAGAAACTAGTTATCTAAATGGCTGGACTCAAAAAATGCAAATAGTCAACAGGAGAAAAGGAAATTTAAAAAATTGATGAATGATCGTGCAATACATTTAAGTACTGCTATTTTGGAATACAGATTATTTGCAGTTAATTTCTACAACTAATTCTTAAATGTATCTGGATCACATGAATATATAACTTTCATTTCATTTTCTTCAACCTCCTTAAGTCAGAAAATTTGGGCCTAAATCTTTATAGCAATTTTATTATCCACCATTAAAGAATAAACAGTTGTAAACACAAGGCCTTCTATGAACTTTTGTAATGATAAACAAATTTTAATATGAACAGTTTAAATTAACATAAAATAAGGTGTCTCACAATGCAAAAGAGTTGAAAATAATAACTAATATATATTGTGATACTAAAATTTGACTTTGTAGTCATGTGAACTTAATATTTTCTTGGAAATAATATTGTGGTTTCAGCAAACACTTGACTGGGTAAAACACAGGCAGTTCAGTTACATTTTAATTCCCTGTTTCAAGTTTCATTTATGGGTAGCTGGTGTTAAGTGTGTATAATTCTAGAGTAAAATGTAATGATATGTTACATGCTACATTGTATATTGATAACTGGCATATTCATCATTTTAAACTTCTGCCATTTTTTTATGATGAGAAATTCAAAATCTCTCTTCTAGCTAGTTTGACTCATCCAGTACACTTTGTTAAATCTGGTCATCCAACCATGGAAGATCAGCAGAGCATCTTCCTCAAATTTCACTGTAGCTGTTTACCCCTTGACCAACCTCCAGCCTTTTCCTGTCTTTCATTTCTATTTCCCTACTCTTCTCAGCTTCAGGGGACAACTATTCTCTCTGCTAATATGTGTGTGTGAGTGTGTGTGTGTGTGTGAGTGTGTGTGTGTGTGTGTGTGTGTGTGTGTGTGTGTGTGTGTGTGCTACTGAGGATCAAACTGTCAGGGTGCTCTGTCCCTGAGTTCTATCTCCAATCCCTTTATGTTTCTTTTATTTCTTTATTGGTACATTTTAGATATTGATCATATTCACCATAGGGAATTTACCTATACACGACAGATTTTGCTTTTCCTATTTTTTCCATTCCCCTTCCTTCCTTTCAACCCCTCTTCCCCTCCTTATTTGTAAAAGTTTGTTTTCATTTTTTTGTCCATTCCTTCTTTTCTCCCTCCTCCCCCCCCCCCCCCCGGTTATCCTCTATTGTACAGGTAGAACTTAAATTTACAATCTTCCTACCTCAGTCTCCCAAAGCTCTGGTATTTTAACTGTATACTACCATACCCAGTTTATTTTCTCCGCTTATATGAGGGTAACAGTTTAGATTCCACATATTAGTCAACCACACAGTCTTTGTGTTAACTCTTACAAGAAATATGTACTGAGCATATTTACACTAAGAAGTAAAAACTGTTTAGCTGAAGTACAAATTTCATTAAGCTTTCTGTACATTTATGAACTTTAATCTACAAACTCTATTGCCATCCCAAATTTACTGGTGCATTTCAGCAGCAGCAATCAGTGACTGAACTTCCAACACAGCACTGCCGCTATTCTGCTGAGCTCTCAGAGACAGCTCTGAAATACACAAACCTGATTCCGCTTGCCACCTCTTTTCTAAAACTTCATGCTAATTTTATTTCAATTTCCTTTCTGCTACATTTATCTAGATAATGGCTTTCAAAAGGTCTATAATCAAAATTCAGTTTTAAGCATAAGTAGTTAGTTAATATGTATGTGTAATTCTTGGCATATGCACTTATTTAATATGTATTAATTGCATAATGCTTTTTTGCTTTAAAGTTCACTGTGGGATGTATAATTTTTTCAATTTACTCATCTTTTAGGGTTGGATCGTGGCCATATAAGAATTTAAAAAGACAGAAAACTAACAGAAATTCATAGTTTCACTAATGACTGAACATTATCAAGTGGTAAATTTTAATATGTCTTAGAGATTAAATCTATTGAATATATGAATGTATAGAATCTTGATTCAGCATTATGAAATACTATTATTTCCTTATACATGAAGCTCACGCAAATATAACAAATATATTACATACAAGTAATAATTGGTTGGATAGTTGAAGAACAATCCTCTAACTGTATTGCCCATATTTTACTTTACTATAATACAAACATTGCAATCTTGATTCATTAGAGACAAAAACATTTTCTGGAAAACTGAGAGGAGAAGTGAAAGAAACTAATTGTCATGGTTTAGGTCTGTGGCCCTCAGACCTCATGAGTTTGTATTGTGCATTTGTGATTGGTTCATTGTCTAGTGCTTGGATTGATGGTGTCAATGCTACACCCACAAAGGGGTGGAGCCATGATGTGATGTAATGGCAGGAAGAAGGTGTGTCTTGCTCTTTGCTGGGTCCTGCTTGCTGTTTGAAGCCACCATGAACTGCAGTGTAGCCATGCCAGCCTGCCTTAGAGCCAACTGAGTGTGGACTGAAACCTCCAAAAACTGTAAGAAATAAACCTTTCCTTTTTCAACTTGGACTTGAGGTATTTCGTCTCAGCAATGAGTAAAAAGTAAGTAAGACACTAATAGAATTAGTGCCTGAATTTACAGGGACATTTCACTGAGTAAGTTGGGTCTACACTGATTAAGAAGAAACCAATTACTGAAATAACTGCAATAAATAATTTTAGGAGATGTTTTTGAAACTTGAACAGTATACACAGAAGAGTTGAGATGGGAATAAGAGTGGTGCTCTTAAATATACTGATTTATATGAAGAATAGGAAAACTGAGTTTTTATATGGATTGGACACATTTAGCTCCTCTTTGGTAGGTGACACTACTGGTGAATAGAAAAGACCCTCAGGCTACGCAGGCTTTGTACTATTCTTTTACAGAATAATTGCTCAAAATGTTTTGATTTTAAAGTACCAAACTACTAGAAATTAACCTGCTTTGAACTATGCGAAGTGATTAATTATAAGCTTTTAAAGATAGAGAAAAGTATAAAGTAGTTTGGATTTACTTGGGGGTGGCTCACAGGCTAGAAGATTACCAGACAAAAAGAGGAGATTAAGGCATGCATGTAATCTTGATAACTTCGAAAGGGTATGTCTTTGTCACTCAGTATTTAACATGTACCCTAAGTCGAAATTGGAATTTCTGAAATTGCAGCAATTTGTGGCTTAAGGATATATGTGATCCGTTTTTGAAAAAATATTTTATATATTTATAGAGATATCCAAGTAGATATACAGTCAGTGTATTTAGATCTCAAAAACCAAATCATGACTAAATATATCAAATGTAAATATCTCTGCCTAATTTGATTTTAGAGAGTATGAATATATAATGACACAATTCATCCAGCATTTAAAGGTCAAATTAAAGATGCCCAACATGAGACTTACTAAAAGTAGTGGTTTTAGCTGGAAAAAAAAAATTAACGAAATCAAATTTTGAAAAAGTAATAGTGAGCAGCATTGGCAAAGGCTCCTGGAAGGCTAGAAAAGATGAAGATTTTGAATATACAGACTGTAAAATACTGGTTGGTTTTTTAAAGTACTTTGGAAAGATACATGGAAAAATCTTCTATTCCAATGAGTACAAGGAAAATGTACACATGGCAGGGAATTTCTTATTCCGTGATTTAATCTAGAAATATACTATTTTGTTGACAAATAACTTGATATTTTATAGTGTATTATGAATAATGCTAAAGTATATAATGCTGCCTTTATGCATCACTACAGTGATATTGCAGGGATAATGGAAAGCAAACTCATATTTGTAAACACTGAAAAGTAAATTAGGAGAATGATATGGGTTTCTATGTTTTTATATTTTCACAAGAAGTAAATGATGAACAAAAGTTATAGCTTAGAGGTATCTTTTTCAGGATAATATTTTTCTAAAACACAATGCCTATTGCTTTTAATAAACATAAAATTTTAAGTTACTATCTCAAGATAGCAAGCAGAAAGTAATGGCAATGAAAATAGAATGATCAATAGTAGACTCCTGGAACAGCATTTTACAGATGCATGATGCCCATACTATCTAAGTATGTGTTATATGATTTTGAAATTTTACTTGGCCTCTCTAAGAGTCAGTTGTCTTACCTACAAAAATAAATTATTGGTGTTGTTTAAGAGATCATTCCCAAATTCAAATATTTTTCCAATATTTGGTTTTTTATACTGGTATTGAGAATATAATTGCAGTTATAAACTCTTTAGAATTGCAGAATTTTAAATATTTTGTTCACTTATTTAAGTAATTCAGAATAAATATAGGTCTTAAGATTTCTTTTCACTTATGAACCCAGATACATTTGTTTATACCATAATTAAGCAATAGAAGAAATGTTGTAGTTATTAAAGTTCAAAGATTATACCCTGAATAGTAATTGAAAACCAATGTTTCAACATTCTGAACATGAAGTTAACAATTAATGAGACTATTTTTCTTCTCTGTACATAGAGTGATTATATTCTTCAGTAGGTACCACTTATAACTAATCATTTGAAAACCTCTATAATTTTATCTATTTATTTTTAACTAGGATATTTGAGATGGGTAAAAGTTTATTGGATTGAAGAATAAACAACTGATGACAGAAATTAAATTCTTTTTTCTGAAACTATTTCAACAAGTAACACCACAAAAAAAACCTGCATTAATGAATGTATTGTTTGCTTTTTATACAGTTATAGTAGATCTCACTCCCAAACAATACACAAAAAATGGTGGAAAAATAGGCGCTCACTGTTTTAAAATCCTAACTGAAACAAATGCTGCAGGTGTGTGTATAAACAGGGCTGTTCAGATCCTAACTTTCTATTATCAATGCTGCATGTGTATCCTAGAAAAAAATCTGGAGAAAAACAAACAAAAGCATAATGTTACTCAATAGTAACTCTTGGGACAATTCCTAGTATATTTCCTCAGAGTACAATCTGAAGTAATGTGACAGAATGAGAAAAAAAAGTGCCCGCTGACAGTTCTTGCATGGGCTTTTGCTAAGGACTTTCTCACATGATCCACTACATAACTGAAAATATCCCTGTGTTTTTCAGGTGTTCTGATTTTAGGATGTCACAGTGATCTGCTACCAATGCTTGATTCCTATTCAGTCGTTACTCAAGACTCTCATACTAGTAATCAGGCTGTCTAATTAAATTACTTTCAAGAAAAAATGGTAATCATAATATACGATATTTTCATTAATTTTACCTGACATAATCCTTCCCAAATTAGTAGTAGTTCTAGAATGCATTACTTTTGTCTGTATCTCACTTAATAAAGTTATAGAAAGACACACATCTGATTACTGTCTAATACAAGTCAGGAAAACTGAAAATAATTGAAATATAATAATTCTCAATTTCAGACATACTTGACCTTTTAAAATTTGTTTAACCTTTCCAAATATCAATTTCTAAATCTAAAAAACTTTGCAGCATATAATCATGATGTTTCATAAACATTATTATATGAAAATTACCAGTTTAGACCTGCTCCTTCCTAAGTACTGGTAAAAATATCTCTGCCTCATTCCCTCTCCCGCTCCATCATAAACCCAAATATTTCCATTTTCTAAATATTAAATGGAAAAAATGTAGGAGGAGATTGGGGAACTCAAAGCAAAAAAAAATTAGCCTTTATAAAAAGATCCTCCATAAACATATGAAGGGTTAAAATCTGAATGTATATCCTCTTATTAACATCTGAAATGGCACATAATTTTCAAATTTATAAAAATATTAAAATTGATAAATGAATTTTATCACACTGAAAAAGTAAAAGCTTAAATCTTTTAATCATTCATAGCTTTCAGTGTCTGCAATTATAAGTCTCAAAAAATTAAATAATTTTGACTTATTACCTGAATGAAAATAAATAGTAGAATTTTGTCTTTGTGTGTAGAGGAATTTCTGTAACCGTTTCTTCTACAAGAGGAGAGATGGTCAGAAATAAGATTGGAGAGCTATTCAGATTAGTGGGGTTAGTTTCATTTGATTTACATTCTAATGAGTTATCACTTTTCTATGGACAATTGAATGCATACGTTATCCAGTTCATCCTCAGGACTACTAAACAAATAAATAAATAAGTAAATGCAACCTGTATAATAATATTTTTAAAAAATTCATTCCCTTATCTAAAATCAGTGATAGCATACTTAGATCTTAAGTCAAACTTTAATAATTCTTAAAAAATTATGTTTATATCATAAGTGTTTCTTAACTGATTAATTACTTAAAATAATTTATGAGATATAACTATAAATCACAAATAAACTATGTATTTGTAAACAAACATTTCTGGAAATTTGAAATAATTCTATCTGCATCATGCAACACTACGGAGAAAATATTGAAATTTATATTTTCCTACATCATGAGTTTAGGAAATGAATGTAGCATTTGGTAAGTCAATACATTAATTTATTAATTTAAATTAATATTACTGGGTTGCTGGATGTATTGATGCCAAAAATATTGAAATATTTTGGGTTATTTCATTGAAAAGTATTTACATAGTATATATATTGCTTCATATTCCATTTTTACTTTGCTTTATGTATGTTGCAAGATTAAAATTTACAACACAAATCTAAGCATTTATAACTCACAAAAATATATCTAATATTTCCTTTTAATTAAATATGTAATTTGAAAACTACATTTGTGGTTATTTTAAATAAATGGTATTATTTAGATATACAATAAAATGTTCAAAGAAGGCAAATCTTTCAGGACATGGGATAGTATTGATTTTAAAAATAACTGTGTTTTAAAATAATTAATGATATCAAAATAACTAATTTACTCTGAAGGAATTTTTTCATGGTGATACTGTTTTAATTTCCTACTAAATAAGTTTACATTACTAGAATGAATCTTCAAATCTTATATTTTCTTTGAAAGTAAAACAAATGATTGCAGTTCTCCAGAATTCAACCAGAAATTCCAACAAAGTAGCCTATTATTTATGCTTTTTCAGGGCGTAAAACCATCACTTGAAAAACCATGTTAAAAGGTATCATAAACCATCACTTTTAAATTAACAATAAATCTTGTAAAAATGTGTATAAACTATATGATTTTTTTTAAAATGAGCTGTTAAAATGTATCTATTTGAAAATGGTTTAATATCTGTGTAAAGGCATCATTTTTTCTATGGAATAACAAAAAGAATTGCAGTAGGCTATTTTGCAAAACATCAATTCTAAAATATGTTTTATATAACATATCTCACAGTTTTGACAACACTTTGCTTGTATCAACCAATATGGATGAGATATGTGCTATACCAGGTAGACCTACAGGAAGAGGATTACTTTAGCACAGAGAGAATACTGAATGAGTAAAAGAGTACAGTGCACCAAAGCAGATGTATCCATGTTGTAACACGATACATGACAGAGGAGGCGCTATAGATCAATGGTTATCTAAAAAATTTAAATGAAAGTTATGAATTAAATTTTATTTGTTCCATGCAGAAAATTCAATTGTACAATGTAATCAGATAGGACAGTTATGTAAAACAGAGTGCACAGCAACTG